AATACACAGGTAGCAATTTAAAACGGTAGAGAAAAATTTGAGCTACCGAGAGAAACATCGATACGCAACTTTCAACTCGTTAAAACGTTTAGCTCGTGCGTTTTGAAATTAACCCTTTGCACTCGAAGCTATTTTAACTCTAAATATAAAATATATAAATCATTTTTAACTTATAGTATTTCTATTTTATACGACAAAATGCATTTTATGCACATGAAATTGACACTTGGGACTCGCACAACAGTTACACTCTTAACCATTATTTAAAAGTTATCTTAAAGCGTGATATAACAAATTTTAGTGGTGCCTCAGAGTCACCATTCGAGTGCAAAGGGTTAAGGCAAACAATCTCCATTTCGCATAAGGACTCGCGGTCTAATTAATTGCGCACAATCTTCTCCTGAGAACGACATCGCGAGCAATGTGTGCGATCGGCCTCGAACGAGTCGACCAATGAGAAGAGCGCCTTGTACCGGGCACAGTGAAAAGAGCTTGCGCCGAGCATAGAATCCACGCTTGGAATCGATAGAATGTTAAATCGCGGAACCATGGAGTTTCATTGTTGGTGCATAGAGGCCGAGCAAAGGCGGAGAGCTCGCTCGTCTGGCGGTCTAATGAAAATTGCAGGCGATAGGGGTCTCCAAGATTGAACGAGCTAGGGGAGGAAAAACCGGCGATTTTCTCGACTCACTTTCCCATGTACTCGCCGTGGAGCACGGTGTCGCAGCTGTGGCACTTGAAGCACCAGACGTGCCACTGTCGATCGAGCGCTACCAAAGCCTGACCTTCCCGTAATTGGTTTCCGCAACCGGCGCAGGCACCGGGGTCGGAGGGCCCGTCTCCGGCTCCTCTGGTCGCCGCGTTATTGCCGACCGGCGTCGAGGCCTCTCGAACCGGGATACCGACGCATCGATGGCATAGAGCTTGACCTATAGACAATGCTCGGTTAGTTGGGATTGGACGGATCCGGTCGTCGATCTGCTGACGCTGACGCACGCCGTGACCATTGTCTTTTATCCCGGCCAGCGTATCTTCGCCGACTGATTCATCGTTTGTACGCGCTCGGCGCCGCCAGCCAGCTTTCGCCGATTGTTTACTCGGTCCTGATTCAATCATCCTAACTTATAAATAGCCGAGCGAGACTCGACTCTCGTGTCGCGTCTCTGGAAACATGCATTTCCGATCGGCGGAGACGCGACTCTCCTTCGGAACAATGATCTTTCGCGGTTAACGCGTCTTTTTTTAGAAAAACATACTATAGATCTTCCCGTTATTCGGCGTACGTCCTTGGGGCTAAAATCCTTCGGAGAGAAGCACCATTCGATCCGATTCTGTTTTTTCAGTCTCGCCCGAAACGAACGATGATCTCAAGCCCAGATCTCGGGAACAAACGATTCTATTTAGCGAATGCAGCATCTATGACCGAAGGCTGCTGTCTCGCACTACGATTTCTGTCATTATCTATTCTTCGGGGACGAAGGGGAACGCTGTCGAAAGCTTCGCGGAACGTCAGATATGAAATCGAGACGCTGCCAGGGGAAACCCTGTCGATCTAGCTGTTCGTTTGCATCGATTCCCAGTAGGCGTGGTTCCGATGCTCCCGACTCCGACGGAGCGGTGCTCCAGAGAGCAGTCTCTGCCCGTGTTCGACTCGACTGCGCGAAAATGGCGGTTCGCAGAGCGAATGAACCGGTTTTCTGAATATCGAGGAAATTGCATCGTGACGAGAACCAGCAGCGGAGAGACGCGGCTATGCATTTCTGGAGCTCGATCTCTAAAAATACACGGTCCTCTCTCGCGGGACGATCGATAAAGCGGCCGAGGTTGCATGTGCCGATGCGCATAAATATTTGTTCGCGGACAATGTAACGATCGGATCGAAGGGGGTTTCAACTCGCGGGATGGGGTCATACTCGAAGTATCTCGGATGCAGACGTATCTCCGAGCGTCAACGGTGTAACCGGTACAAGGCCGCGCGCGAGCACGGCCTCGTTAATCCGCTACGATACACCTAAGTGGTAATTTGCTTTAACTGGTTCGCCGGTACGTCAATTTCGCGGGTCGCATCGAAACGCGACGCGTTTAAGCGAAACGTCTGCGATCCTTTCGACGAATCCTAATGGGCCTCTCGGGCCCCAATAAAGCGCGAGTTCTCCCTCTCGGCTAGGAACGCTCTACTTTGAGATCCTCGTTCGCTGCGAATCGATTCGAGATTCCCCCGAAGGCAGCGCACGAACTTCCAGATTCGGGAACGGTCACGGACAGCTCTCTTTGCCCCGAGAGCTGCGGATCGCCCTCGAGGGCAACGGCTGCCGATTCGCGTCACGACGCTGAGAGAGCAGGCCTTTGCTAAGCTAACCATGTTCGCTGGCTTTGGAAGGCGCGGCTTCGGCGCTCTCGCCCTCGGATAGGCCAGGGCAATGGCTCTCAGGGCCAGGCCTGACCTAGAATCCGGGAGCCTGTTGCTTCCGAATCAACCGGGGCGAGAACGCGCCTCGATATCGAGGGGTCCGCTGGAACACTCACCTTGCACGAGCGACACCTTGGTGCCCTGACCCAGCAGAGGCTGCCTGCATCTCTGACAGTGGAAACAGTTCGGGTGGAAGGCGTGTTTCTCGCCAGCGGTGACCACGTCGCCCTCCACGTACTCGCCGCAGCCGGCGCACTTGGTGCCCCAGCGTTCCCTGTAGTCCTGGAAACACAAATAATTAACATAACGTTCGCAACCAGTGAAAACTATAGCAAATCGACGCGATGCGGAACGGCTGAAATCCCGGAGAACCACCACGGAAATGCCGCTAATTGAACTCAAAGTTTAAAACGCTGTGACTAGAGGTTCTCCGGGTTCAACAGACCTTCGCCTTAGGATGTAGGACGAAGTACGGAACAGGTGAAAACGAAGGGTTGGTCTGGGAAACGCGGCTGTACTTGCGGCGAGTGCATTACGCGCTCCAAATAATAGCGTTCCCCACGTTCTTCATTTTTTTTTCTATCGGCCGCCACGGTCTTTTATTTATACGTTTCAGTACCTTGGTGCAGTAGTAAGAGCCCTCGCGTGCGAAAAAGCCGCCCTGCGCCAAGCTCGCGTTGCACTGAGCACACTTGAAACACCCTATGTGGAAATACTTGTCCTGCACTCGTAGCACCTCCCCGCTGCACTTCTTCTTGCAAGACTGGCAGAACGTTTTACCTGAAACACCAAATAGTTGTCGTAAATATTCAAACCCTCGAGCTTGTACGAATTCGAAATGTACAACGAGGAGGAACATGGGGGAGGAAGTCGCGACGGTGGGGGAGCGACGTAACCGACCGGAGATCATGGAACAGCCAACAAGTATCATCGCCATCGGGTGCTCCAGATTCGTCTCTCCAACCCTAATTCTCTGAATATTGGAACTGCTGGTCTTCGAACCCGGTTTCCCTGCTCTGCCACCTCTGCTCTAACAATCTGAATCGCATTATACGCGCGTGTCTCCGGGTAAATACGTGATCAATCGCGTCGACCGATCAATGGATCCTGTTTAACGGACTAATGAGTCGTTGACTGCTCCCAAGAGGGCTCACAGTTTATCAATCAACCCCGGTAGAAGGCATCGGACGACTTAACGACGAACTCGATCAAGGATCGCCACGTTCTTGTTATCCAGCCAATTTGTGGAACGCGTTCTTTTCGCGTGGAGAAAGGAAGAAATCTCCCGGCGATCTTTTATCTCCGATCATCGAGTCTTTCACTCGCCGAAGGTAAAAGTTCCGCGCGGAACCGGTGCTCTCTCTCTCTCTCTCTCTCTCTCTCTCCGCGCGATCGCTTAGAATGGACTTCCTTGCTCCCTTTGCCGAACGCTGCGAGGATTGTTTCGCAAAACATCGCCGTCCCACCGGGCCCCGCTAATTAATAGCAAATAGAGCGAGGCAACCGGCTTCCAGGAAACGATAACACGGCTCGAGCCAGATTTTCCACGCTGGAAAAAAGCGGTCGATCACCTACGGCTTCCTGATCGGCAAGCTGCGACCAGCGATAATGCGAATTAGCCGCGCGACAAGCCTCGAACGATGAAAATCGGACCTCCCGGCATGCCGCTCGAAATTTTCGGAACAGCCTAGAATTTCAGTCATCCGCCGCGATTTCTCTGCCGCGATTCCTGCCTTTCTACCGGCCCAACGATGCGATGGAGACGACTAACAGGATTCTACTGCTTTCGCGGGGGAAAAAAACGCGGTAAATTCTTAATCAACGACGAGTTCTAAATACTCCGCAGTAGATGAAGAAAATTCCGATCTTCTTCAAGATCTCGTGTTCGCTACGTACACGTTCTTGCCGGCAGAAATTAAACGATCCACGTCGTGGCTAAAAGTTGTAGCTGGCTTAATCCAAGACCGACCGAGAAGAAGCTGTGCAACTGAAACAAACTGTCGAAAGCAGAGCAAGTCGCGAAGATCGAATACTGAACATCCACGAATACTGATTGCGACCATGCATCGCATCTGCTGTACGGGACAGTGAACGTGTGAAGCAAAATAGGCATAAAATTGTTTTCCACCGTTTCTGCACTGAACGGCTCAAATATAGCAACGACTATGGATCGAATCCTGCGATCTGTGTGTCGAACGTGGCCCCCAGGGGTCTCTCTTTTCCATTTAAAATTCTGCCAACAGGTTGCATGCTACGAACACTGGACGCCTAACGAATTTAATCAGGCATTCGTGTTGCGTATCCGCGGAATTATCGGCACGGCGGTTCGGCTTCGATCGTCAGACGGTTCACGCACCGAGGGAATACGGCCAGTTACACGCGTAAACCGATCGTGTGTAGAAGTTCTAAAGCGTGAGTCAAAGGCCTGGTTAGCCGTCGGCTAAGAAAAGTGTCAGGGAGACGGAGAAAAAGGTGGCACGAGCACTTGTCGGAGTGCACTTCGCTCGCGGGCCGGGTCGGGCCAGCCCGCGTATCGAATCCGGGTGAAGGTCTTCTCTCTTTCAGCCGCGCTGGAAGCGGTCGAACCAGCCTCGCGCAGCCAGTCGACCGTTTTCAACACGCAGACGTCGTCGCACCAAGGAAAAAATCCACGGCTGACATATTGCTTCACCTGTCGCGCCGCGCCGCGACTCCAAATAATCGAGCAATTTGAAAAAAAGGGAGACGCGAGGCGAGCAAATCGTCGCCGCGATTAAATTGTCGCCGCGCCGCTTCTTGTAACGAGTCTCGACGGTTAGCCGTTCGCTTTTTAATGGACGTTTCAGCGGGCCCTTCCGCGTTTCCGTAGCCAGCAAAAGCCAACCGAGCAAAAACGCGAGCCGGTTTTTACGTTAATTGAACGCTCCTTCGTGTCGCGATTCACGAGTGTTCGCGCGTGGGCGGACACGCAGTTTCCGGAGAAAAGCAGAGGATCGCCCGAGAGAACCGGGCCCGATCGATTTCAGACGGGCCTGCGAAACGAGGCCGGCTCGTAAATCGGAACGAAACGATACGACAAGCTTTACGACACGTGTAACAGCTGCGGCCGAGAGTTGACACACGTTCGGTTACGCAAACGCAATTATGCTTAACATCGTGGCGATCGTTGACTCGATCTGGTCGTCGCGGTGCAGCTAGGAAGCTTGGCCGAATCGATCCTTTTAGGATGCCGGTGCTAACTCGAAACGTGTGCAGAAAATCCTTGAAAAATTCTAGGAAAGATTCAACGCGAATTAACCCTCGGGCCGCGGTTACCGCATCTTTGGTGCCGCGCGAATTTCAATCGCCGATCGATCAGTCGCCGCTCAATTATCTGCAAGCGAACAAAATAAATTGCTGTTATTCTAGGAACAACGGAAAGACTAACAGGTCTACGAAAAACGTTAAAAAATGTTTTGAAAAAGTGGCGAACAAAGCCGAGAATGCTCGTAAACGGCGACAATTGTACTACACGATCGCGAAAATGGTTCGCCGTCCGAAGGTTAATGTATGTAACGAAGATTTATCGCTACGATTTAGTATAGCAACGAATGCGTCAATCTGTTTGCTTCTCTGAAACGCAAATGTAGCTTCAACGCGAGCGAGTCTAGAGAAAGAAGCAAGTTGTAAAAATATCGTTTCACATGCAAATTATGCGAACTTAGAAAAGAAGGAACATTATTGTTTTACGACGCTGGCAACCGGTTTTGCCTTGGCGAAAAAGAGTAATTTCGCGTCAACACTCGCGACTGCGTTACCACACGAGATTCGCATCACCGATATTACGAAGTCGAAATCAACGGCACAAACAATTTTTTCCACGAACGAGGATTGCGAATCCACGGCATCCGGTCCGAATAAATTCCGATCGATAAACACGGAGGCACATGAACACGTGTCTCGCTCGAAAGGTTAGTTCGGGGGACGACACCGTCATGCGAATATCCTCGTCTACGCAACTATTGATTCTCTTCTGTGAAACGCTCTTTTTAGCAACCGATTCTCGGTAACGCGCCGACAAATGGGATTAGCTGGGAGCATTTGTCTTTCCTTCATTCCGCGGGACGGACAAAGTGTTAAAGGAAACGGGGAATGACCGTCAACGTTGCTTGACCAGTCGCGGCTGATTCACGCTACTAACTTTTTCCTCAAGTCATTCCCAGTCTCCTCGCTGCGAAATGGACATTCCTCGCACGCCGCGAGCAAGAATGCGATTTTTCCTGGCGAGCTGAACAATTGATCCGCGATCGAACGGCAGTTCCTTCGCTTGGACGTATTCCAAGCGTTATAAATAAACATTTGAAAACACGTCGAAGCGAAGGTTTCGGCAGAGTTAAACAGCGTTTGCAATTTACAAGGATGTCAGCCTCTAAGGCGACAAAGCTCAACGATTCAGCCCGAAGTCGGTGGAGCAGCAATTGGACCAAGTTTTACCAGAAAGAATACTGTCCAACGCAAAGATCCCCGGAGAGCGTTGGAACTTGGAGCAACCTCTGTCTCCGGAGTCAACGATTCAGCCCGCAGTCGGTGGGGTAGCCGAAGATAAGCGCGTCCGTTTCATGAAGTTATCTGTTGTTTTGAACGCGGAGTCCCTCTCCCGGTCTATAAATTGCTCTAGCCCGTCTGCCGGTCACAATGGTGTTAGCCGCGCAAGAAAGGGGATGTCCGGCTGCCGCTGGGAGAGGCTATTCATTATTGAAACGAGCCAAGAGAAAGAGAGCCGGTTATCTCCCGAGCGAGACGATCGATTCCCCATTACGCAAAACAACGTTATATTCCCGGCGTATCTTCGAAACGGTTCGCGACCGAAGAAAACACGATTAGTATCGTGCAATCCGCATTCTAATGGACGATGAGTAATTAGAGCTGTTTTGGCACGCACGGTAGCGCTGCCACTGACACTCGGGGCGATGCCATCATCGGGACGAAAATATGGTCGGTGACTCAAAAAAGACCCGCGGGAAAGTCAGCGGATTAAACTCTCTCTTCCTCTCTCCCTCCCCTTCTAAGAAGGTTATCGAAACGACTCGATGGAAAGAGACACGGCGCTGCCCTAATCCGAATTTAGTCCGAGTACGTGCTGCGCGGGAATTGTTCCGAATCGGTTTTGCACCCTTTGTTCGAGGATTTGCTATTCCGAAATAAGATTTGGCACGAGCCGGGCATAGTTCGACCATTCTTCTGGTCGATGACTGCGATGATCGCAAAATAATCGCGGTCTTGAGAATGGAGGAAGTTGGGCGGAAAAGGCGTTCGTTACTTTCTCGGAAAGCTTTCACGAGCTGCCTCGTTAATTCGTTTAAACGCCACGCTCGAGGAGAAGACCGTGGCCAGTGATTTCTCCAAACCTAAGCCGTCGGACAAGGTTCGATGATTATCGCCGACACACTCGAGACGACTACTCCCCGTGCGAACACTCGAGGGCGACGGATCCACGCTGATTATGCGAAGAAACGACGGCGGTTCAATGGAGGGCAACGGAGTTTCGCGATTCGTCGCGGAACTTTAAAAATATACGGTGACATCACTCGGCCGAGAGCGGCTCGTGTGTTTTGACGTCATCTCTGCTGTCGCGCGAGCTGAAACACGTCTACAAGGACTGTTTCCAGCGTTCTCGATTAGTCGAATCGACGGCGGGAAATCGGTGAAACTTCTCCGATCGTCCGGAAACAGGGTTGCAAGAGGCGTGGAATTAGTCGCGCTCGAAATTGTTGGGATTTTTCTTCGCGTTTTCAGATGGAATCGAGAAGGGACGAGGTATC